CGCAACTCTATCATCGTAAGATGTAATATAATCTATCTATAATACAAGCTTGTATTTACATCTGTACTATTTAAATCTTTATGAAAAGAAAAAAATTAAAGATGGTTTCGTCAATCTTTAATACGACTTCTTAATTTGTCAGTGAATAGGACTCGATCACTATTTCCTTTTTTGGCCGCAAAGCTCTTGTAGAGATATTTTGGACACCAATACATCATTCTGTGCTTTCCTCGCTGTAAGGGTAAAGTCCTTACGATTCAAGCAGCTTTTACCAAAACAGTGGCTGACATCGTATGCGCCTCTAACACAAAATGGGAGCATTCGGCTGAAGTATGCAGTGGCATGGAATCCATTACTGCCCCCCCCCCCGAACCCCAGATTGCGATACATAAAATGCAGTACCTGTGACCCATAGCTCAGAAGAAATCGGTCGCTCTAAACCGAAAATGATATTTTTGTTGTTTACGGTGCGTACAGGAGGATTGGATTTTTGTATTGAATGAATATCACTTTGCGGTCCCAGGCAACCTTCTAACTGAAATCGAATTACATGCTTGGTATTCGAAATTCAATTTATCAATATAGAATGTGGGATGGGACACACCGACAGGTCTGATAGGCAGTTTGAATCTATATGCCTGCTTGGTGTGCTTATGTAATATTGGAAAGTCTGTATCTGTTTTCGTTAAATTCGCAATTAATGTGGTTAAGATAAAATTCATAACATAAATATATGCCTTAAAAGTAAGTCTTCATTATACTGTTTCAGGAAATGTGTTTCTGATAAGTATGCGTAATTAAACCGAAAAGATAAGACTGTTCTCTCGAAGAAACGTAAATTTCGGCAAGCTGGTATTGCCAAACAAAATTTTTAAACACATTTAGATTAGTCATAACGCCAACACATAACCCTTCACCACATTTTTAGAATTATCATTTCACAGTAAATGAAAACAGTTATTTTTATTTGAAAATTTGCTGATGTTCACAAAATGTTACTATATAAATTTTATATATCATAATACTCATGAAATCGAAATATATCGCTACGAACTACTTTAATCATACAAAACGTAAGTTTCCAGCGACATCATCTATTTTACGTCAACACACATTTTAATAACAGAAGGATTACACAGTATTATTTATTCAGCCTTCCCGTCATTTAACATCTAACAAGAGAAATGCATTAACGGGCGCGTTGTATGGAGTAAAGAAAAATTATAAAATTAAATCAAAAAGAGATATCGTGTCGTCGTTTAAATCGATTAAAATTTCAGTGCTTTGACAGAATTTAAATGACTGTTCATCGGTGGACTGTTGATGAATATGATAGCATATGTACTTTTACATTCTAGTGATATTCATCTTCCAGTGGCTTAATGTGTAGTGTAATAAAATATCGAATGTACTTTTACATTCAAGTGATATTCATCTTCCAGTGGCTTAATATCTCGTTCATACACAGCATAAAAATTAGAATTCGATTCGGCGATGTTAAAATGCAGAGTATTAATCACACAAATGAATTTCATGAGTCGTCAAATCTGCAAAACAAATATTAATTTCAAACAAATCGCTCTGTTAGCGACAGTGGCTTCATTTTTGTTTAATGACTGTGGTCATAATAAATATTCAGCACGAATTTCCATACGACTTATTTCCGATTTATATTTATGCTAAAGGTAAACATTAGAAGTAACAAATCGCGAAGGAAATTATGCTAATCTGCAACTGTTACAACTTCTTTTCTGACTGCCTCAAAGCAAGTTTAAATTCATAATGTATATTTAAGATACTTGCTATGAAAGTTTTAAGTTTTTCTCAAAGTTTGCATGATTTTAATTGCTGATATTCGCTTTTAGATGAACGCAACAAAACCGTGACCTCCTTGTCTACTATTAGATTTTGAAAATAACCCATGATATACGCGGTTCATCACTTATCGCGAATTAATATTAATTATACCACAGAATAATGATCACTAAAACAAACAACCCTTAAATAAACTGTATATGGTTACTTATTCAATCCAATACTTTTTCCCAAAGGTCCATTCTAAAACCGCAAGAGGTGAAAAGGAATAGATTATTCGCTTTTGGTCTCTCATACGTACCATCGCTATTTATTTACTGTAAGCGTGTCATTGACAGCGTTTCCAACAAAAATATCTGCATTCAACGTACAGACATGAGTTTGCCAAACGGTTCTGTCAGGCGAACAAACACGTAACAAGTTTTAAATATCCATACGCCGTTGTAGTTTATGTGATAACGTATGTTTGTACTGACCAACTGTTACGTGTTTTTCATTTATAGTCTTATAATGCTCTCAAAAGCTCAGATTATAAACTCTTGAAAGTTAGAATGGTTAATAAATTATTACTGTAAAGAATGTGGAAGGAATCGGTTGTCTTATAATTTCTGATATTGTCTCGGAATTTGCCTACGGGATTGAAGAATGTCACAAAAATCTATCTTCACAGCAGGTCACTGGACCGAGGTTTCAACCAGAGACATTCTGAATATTAAAAACAGCAGACATAACCACTTCACAACGACGTTTAGGAGCACGTGTTGCAAGAACAGATTAAATATAATTTAAAATACGGCACTGAATACAATTAAGTACTGTTCCTTACACAATTTAATTACGCAGACAACTCGCCCGTGTCTAAAGACAAGTTTAAGAACGAGTAGGAGCTATACGACCTCTCCCCTCAAGCGCCTACATGGCGTATAGTGAGACAGCTTTTTTTATTACTAAGTTAAACAGCAGACTACAATGAGAAGTCGGCAATTTCAAGAACTGACTCCGACCACGATTTGTGAATTGTCTCAACTGACAAATTATGACAAAACTTTAATTTTGTTACGAACATGACAACAGAATTTAAATAAAACATGTATCTGTAAAATATATGACTCTCTGTTTTGCTGAACGTAAATGCAACACAAGAGTGTTTACTTTTCTGAAACAATCTAAGTAAGAATGTATTTTGTAAAATTATTTTAAGTCTTAAATTTTACTTAGCGTTTAGTGAAATATTAATGCACGTTACCTTCTTTACGATAACATTTGAGAAGCTGAAATGGCCAACATTATTTTTGCTACACTTCAGTAGGTCCGTGGATTCTAAGGACCTTGTCATAATATGTACTTATTCTACAAAGGGAGAATATAGGGCGTCTCTACTTACGTATGTCGAATCCAGCAATGGGAGTTGTTGCCAACAATAGCAGACTTGTAGTAGCAATTAGGATCAGGTTACAGTACTGAATTCCTATAGTATTCTTTGAGCCACGGGGAACCAAATGCTGTTTCAACATGGCTGCTACCACCAACATGAAGATAGAATTCAGTAGAGCCGAACCATTAAGCGATGGAAGTCTCGCCAAGAATCTGAAAATCACACAAAAGAAGATCCCTGAGTTTTGAAATGTGATTCCAATTCTTAGAGTAGTCAACAGATAAGAGGGTGGATCAGAGGCTGAGTGGACAGGGGCGTTAGCGGGGAAGGGGGGATGATCTTTCTTCGGGGAAAACGCATCTACGAGGCGAATCATTGATTACCGATTATGCGTTTCTGGCACCACACTACTGGCTTTGGTGTTAAGGATATACCTCACCCGGCGTCTTCCACAATTTGATACTTGGTGAGATTTTAGATTTCTACTGTGGCGATCACGAAGATGGTTGTCTTCTGGGATGTTAAACCATGGAATACTGCAGACGTTTACCGGCGATTTAGATGCACCTGCTGCCTCCATCAGGGCGATAACTGATTATGTGGATAGGAAGCACCTATCTATTATCTTTCCAAACGAGTTCATTCTCTCCCGTTTCCCCGAAACGGTCGGAACCATCTACAGGGTTGCTTGGTGTCACAACCCCGATGACCAATACTGAAGTCTGTAAAAGTTGAAGTTGCGGCGACTGACTGCAAAGAAATCTTCTCGGGCGATTAGCCACGTGAGAATGGGGTTGAAATCCAGAATACTGGAGACGTTTTCTGCCTCCATTATCAGGGTTTATTATAAAAATATCCATATCGATATATCTCTTTTATCTCTGTGACTCATATTGTGGGTTTTGTGATGTCTTAAAATGACTTTAGATGATATATTCCTCATTACTGGACAACTATGTAAAATTATCATATTTTAGTTGTGCTCATTTGGCTCTGAGGGAACAAATAGTCAACAAAGGTCTTTGTTCAGTCATTCAAAAATGCAGTTATTCGACATTTATATTAAGAACAGTAATTTTAAGCACACAAAGTCTGATTTTCGAAGGAAAAGGTTAAAACCTCCTAATCTGAAGGTTTGTGAAGATTAATAAATTATCTGCTAGCCCCTTTTTCCAAAATTATGGGCTAACTCTGAGGTTGGAGACAATTATTAGTCTCCGAAACGTCGTATTTTTTTTAACAAAGGTGAAGACAATAGAAATAATGTCCAGGGAGTTCGTTGTTTTGAAACCACTAAGTTTGACGGTAATGAGTCTTATCTTACACACGCCGAGTACTGATCAATTATATAAACCTATTTTTAGATACAACACACGGAGATACACGTGAACAACTCACGAGTTTTAAAAGAAAATATTCCGCTGTGTTAATATAGCACAAATAATTTTTGAAGCAGAGAACATGAAGAATGAAATTGTATAAGTCACATATATAGCACAAATAATTTTAGAAGCAGAGAACAACATGAAGAATGAAATTGTATAAGTCAATTAAAATTCTTCAGCGAAGCTTCGTGGAAGTAAATTGCAAAGAAATCAACTCGTCTAGCATCTGACACGCCTGCGGGCTCCGATGTGGGGCGAAGTAGCCATATGGTGGGGTGGGGGGGTACAGAAGGATCTTGTGGACTCGTTTCCGTCCTTATGCAATATAAGCTCTCGCTTATTTTCCTCCAGGGAATTGAGACACGGACACACATACAACCCCATTTAAACTTCCTTCTCGGAGACCATCTTTCCTTATAACACCGTAAGCAGCGGAGTTGGTTTGCTACATTTATACTGCAAAACTACCTCAACTGAAAGTCTTTTACTACAATCCCAAGTCATTAATATCCATTCCTTTAATAAAATACCCCGTGATCAGAAACCAAGTACTGTGTTCGTTGAGGAATCGAAGTAATTTGTTTCTTATACAATTCTACTTTTCGTTCAGTGGCATTAATTATCAACACAAAAACCAGAGAATTCACTATAAGTTTCAATAAATGTTAAATTAATTTAATTAATATTTATAAGGTAGATGTCTGTCTTTCGCGACGCAATACCGAGTGACCGACGTTTTAGAGTAGACTACTGCCTTCAACATGAGAAATAATGGAGATAGTAAGCTCCTCTGAAACGTCGACAAACATCTACCAGATTACACTTTATATCATCCCAAAATGTAAAATATTATATAATATATATGAAGCAATTTCACAAACCTTCAGACAATCTATATTAAGTTTATATATACATTAAAAAATATTAAAAATTTCGCAGTTTTAAAGTTTAGTCAAATTAAATATTCGTACAGAAGACCCATAAAAACAGATCCAGCTTATAGTTGAGTTACACGTGATTAAGAACTTTTGGTATTTATAATTAGGCCTATCCTTGTTTGCACCATCAAATGAGAATTGTTTCTATAAACCCGCCACTTGTGTGTCAACTGTTTCTGGACATTACCTTAACTAAAGGTTGCATGGCAACGGTCAGAAACTTAAATAATAAAAGTACATACAGTTTTACTGTCAGCTATAGATTTAGTAAGTCTTCACTAGTACTGACGTTCTTAACTTTTAATTAATTTCTGTTTTAATATAACAGAAATCCTAGAGTAAAATTTGATATGGTGACAAAACCAACTTTCATTTCTGAAAGCTTCTACAGACACGTCATGGAGCACACATCCATTATAAATTTAAACTACTTTCAGCCTGAGGCGTAGAAGTGGACATAAAAACGAGACGGGTGAATGGAATCGTTATTTTATGGGCTATAAACGTAATGGCGCTGTCTCTGATATTCTGGACTTCTAATTTCTCATAGTTTTTTTCTCGCTCGTAAATTTCCATCTCGGCGGTAAAGTACACTTGGGTCACTGTTAGTGTCTTCGCCCGACATAATTATTAAATTATAGGTCTGCACACATTTTTGAACGCAGGTAAATAATATTTGCTCTTTCAGATGTCTTTTTAGGTACCACTTCTTAAATTTCATTAGTCAGCAAAGACGAAGCCGAGTTGCGGGCAACGTACAGAAACATGAAACGGTAACAAAATACTGTATAGTACTCAAAAAGAACGTTATTAGCAATTTTAAATTAAAACAAAAATAGGCTACAAATAAAAAAAACCTGCAAAGCTATATACTACAATGTACACCTGACAGGCGCGTTCTGCAGAAGGAATTATTAAATGGCACGTTCTAACATCTAAGCTCTTCATTTTACAATAAAATTACAAGTAGCCTAAAATCAAAAGGGGCTTAATTTTATTTTCATTAATTGTTGCCAGCTGCTGCTAAAACAACTGAAGAATTTGTTTCCGTGTACGATTATCCATTATGATAAGCTTATGTAGTTATACTGATGTGTAAAATGGTCGTTAAAATTTTCAATCTACATAAATATTTAAACGCGTCTAAAAATTTCCTTAAAATTCTTCAGTATCAAATTTAATCAAATTCAGGTTATTTAGCGTCTATGGACGGATTGAAAAAATGTTATACACTAATTATACTTTTTCATGTATTATATTTCCTGTCTTATAACACGTGCTACTACTACACACCCGCACGCAAATTGTCTCTTCCATAATCACATGTTTCTGTTTTGTATTACAACAAATTTAAGATTTTAATTATAAACATCAAACAGTTTCTACACATTTTGGAGCAGTCAATAAAATATGGAATTTAATATATTTATTTATAGTCATTTGTCTATAGTAATTGTTTAAATTATTTATATTCAATACAGGGTTATATAAACCAATTATTTATCATGTAAGGCTAATTTATCTTGAAACCAATGTTTTTACAAACAGAAATGAAACGTAAATAACGTTTCACGATCTGAAATTTACAGTGCTAACGTGTGTTCAATAAAGCACATAAAAGAGACTCATATGTATAAATCATTCACTCGCGTCATTAATAGTTGGCCAGTATATAAGCATCGCTTTAACAAAGTTGTTTAACAAACAACATATTTCTGCTCCGCTAAATAATGAGTGTCACTAATGATGTTGAGTGAGAGTCCCATCAACGAGCAAAATAGGGAGAAGCTTTGTAAAGGGTTTACTTGTATAATAGGGTTGTCTGGTGGTTGAATGGCTAATTGCTCCCAATTCAGCGGACAGCTGTGGGTGTGTTGACACACCGCTAGCAACCAAACCACACTTCTGCACCCAGATCGGTCACTCGTTGCTAACCAAGTAAAACATTAGCTCCAGGGAGGTCCCATGTTCCACTGCGACTTCGGTAGTAAATGTTTTCAGTAGCCAAAATTAAATAACAGCTGTGTATTGCTTGATCGCTTAAATGTGTTACGTGAAGTCAACACATATTTATCTGTCTAGTTTTCAAGTTCAGAGAAGGTACGAGGCGCGTCCACAAAGTAAGTTTCCCACTCGTCCCACAGCTAGCAAACCTTATATTGAGCGAAGCGACTGTGCGTACGTGATAGAGCAATGACGTAGCATGGCGCATGCACTAACGGTACTTCCCGCGTTCTCACAGTAGCATCGTTGCAGCTGTTGAAGATGGAGGTTCTTATTCCAGCTCCCGCCGACTGTGAAGTGCGGTCAGTGATAACGCTAGGCCGCACACGGCTCGACGGACAGCAAGTCTCCTGCAGGAGTTCAGCTGGGAGGTGTTTAATCATTCACCCTACAGCCCGGACCTCGCTCCCAGTGATTTCCATCTTTTCCTACACCTCAAGAAATTCCTGTCCGGTCAGCGTCAGCGTCAGCGTTTTGAGAATGAAAGAGAGGCGGAGATGGTTGTCACACAGTGGTTCCAATCCCAGGCGGCAGACTTCTACGACACAGGTATTCAAAAGTTGGTCCCACGGTATGACTAATGTCTCAATTCCGGTGGCGAATATGTTGAAAAATAGCTGGACACTTGCTGTATCTGTTGCAATAAATATTTCCATGAAATTGTGTTTTGTTTCTGTAAACGGCCCCAGGGAAACTTACTTTGAGGACGCGCCTCGTATTATTACTCGCTCAACAGCGTGCGTATAGACAACACTGCTGTCATGACTTACATTACTGTAAAAGACCCGTTAAAATCGAAAAAGGGAAATATTTCTTTCGAGTATTTATTCTTTATTCGTGTCTCTTTCTTCCCCTTATGACTCTTGCAACTTTTGTCCCTAACCC